GCTGCTCCTTGGCGCTACTGGACCAACCCGGCAGCACCCCAGCTGCTCTGCCCCAGGCGTCCCCAAGTCAGCCGCTGCTGAAACTGACCAGTGGCTGACTACAGGAAGCGCCCCAGCTATGCCCCGGCAGCGCCCCAGCTGCTCTGTCCCAGGCGTCCAGATTCAGCCACTGTTGAAACTGATCAGCAGCTGATTCCAGAGCACAGCAGCTCTGCCTCGGGCTTCCTGTAGTCAGTTTCAACAGCGGCTAAATCTGGACGCCAGTTCCAACTTACATACAAATTCAACTTAAGAACAAACCTACAGTCCCTATCTTGTATGTAACCTGGGGACTGTCTGTGTTAAGATGAGGATACAAGCAGCATTTAGGTAAACCAATGTTATCAGGATTAACAACCATTCTAATAAAAATGTGCCACAGCGAGCTTCAGAAACCACACATGGGAAAGACCTTGGCATTCAGATAACCCAGTAGGGCTGTGTCTAGACTGGCCAGTTTTTCCCAGAAAATCAGCCGCTTTTCCGGAAAAACTTGCCAGCTGTCTACACTAGCCACTTGAATTTGCGCAAAAGCACTGACTTCCTACTGTAAGAAATCAGTGCTTCTTGTGGAAATACTATTCTGCTCCCGTTCAGGCAAAAGTCCTTTAGCGCAAAGCTTTTGCGCAAAAGGGCCAGTGTAGACAGCTCAGATTTGTTTTCCGCAAAAAAGCCCCGATCGCGAAAATGGCGATCGGGGCTTTTTTGCAGAAAAGCGCGTCTAGATTGGCACGGACGCTTTTCCACAAAAAGTGCTTTTGCGGAAAAGCATCCGTGCTACTCTAGACGCTCTGTTCCGAAAATGTTTTTAATGGAAAACTTTTCCGTTAAAAGCATTTCCAGAAAATCATGCCAGTCTAGACGCAGCTAGGAGTATAGGCAAAGCTTCCCCATTCAGGCAATGGGCACTACTACGACCTGTTATATAGGATGTCTTGCACCTTCTTCTGAAGCATTTAGCTCAGGGGAGCATCAGAAACACACCCGATTACTAGATGTCTGTGTTTGGTGGTTCTTGCAATTCTCTAAATGCCTCGGTACCGAAGGTAGCGCTACAGCCCCCGAGTGTCCCCGGAGCTCTAGGTTCGTCCCGACCCAGAGGAAAACTGCCTCTAACGGCACCTCCCCAAGCGCCAGTGTTTCCGCGGAAGGCCCCTGCCAAGGGCCGGGCGGGCTCACTGAGCACGGGGACCGAGGTGCGGGCTAGGAAGTGACACGGGTCGGAGGATGGCGGCGGGAAAGCACCTTCACCAGCTGCCTGGAGCCTCCCTGCCGCGGCCCCCAGGAGCAGGCCCCGGCTCTTCAGCGCCATCGCGGCCGGGCAGGAGTCGCGGTGAAAACTCCCCCTGGCTCACAGGCACTGCCGGCCCGGCGCGCCTGCGCAGAACACGTCCCTCGCGCCGCCCTTCGAACTTAGTTCTCGCGACTCGTGCAGGCCCCGGGCTCGGCCGCGTTCGCGGCTTTTGCCTTGGCTGCCTCCCCGCTCGCCTGCGCAGAACACGTCCCTCGCGCCGCCCTTCGAACTTAGTTCTCGCGACTCGTGCAGGCCCCGGGCTCGGCCGCGTTCGCGGCTTTTGCCTTGGCTGCCTCCCCGCTCCGGCTGCAGGTGAGACGGGACAAGCCCCGGGCTGGTGGCTCTGGAGCACGCGGCTCTATTGCCCCCGGGC